ACGCTTCACGAAAACGTAGAGTGGCAACTCTGATGAAGTTGCCACGTGTGGCGACGGCTCGTGGTGCGTTTGTGGCGACGGCTCGTGGAGCGTTTGTGGCGACGGCTCGTGGCGCGTTTGTGGCTCGTGGCGTGTGAGGTGTCGGTGTGGCGGCGCAACAGTTGCATACATTAACATCTGATGCAAGGCAATGAGACGAGCGTGAGAAGCAGCAGCAGTTGACGCCACTGGTGCGGCCAGACGAGCTACAATCTCAGCGTCTCTTGCCAACAGCCGCTAATTGCCGAAATTTGTACGTGAAATCATACAATATTTTGAGTAGGTAGTAAAAGTGATATGCATGGAACTTGGTCTAAAATTAAGCTCAGGCTTTAAATATCATAGGCGAACAAAGAAAATAAAACTCATTCGAACCTGAAATCGAACAAATTGCATGCACCTATAATGAAACTCTGCTTTAATTGGAATCCCTAATCTCGAAATTAACGCCGCTTGAATAAAAGCGTTTGAATCAACTGGAAAAAACTGTTATTAAAAATCACAGAAATTTCACAGCTCTTATAAAATAATGTCAGTTACTATAGGCATGAAGTTACGGTCATCGGCATACGGTATATAAGTGGCCGTTGAAGGGCTGGTTCGGCGGCAGGACGACGATTCCGAAAACAATCGATTTTATTTGCGTTAGCAACGACCGCAGCAACAGCAACAACTACAGTATAAGCAGCAACAACAGCAGCAACATCAAGAGTGATGGCAACAGCAGCAACATTAAGAGTGATAGCAACAGCAGCAACTACAGCATATAAGCAGCAACAAAAGCAGCAACATTAAGAGTGACGGTAACAGCAGCAACATCAATAGAGGCAGAGAAGCAGTAGCAGCAACAACAGCAGCAGCACCAACGTAGGCGTCACAAACTAAATATGAGGGTTACTGGAGGATGAGGGTTACAGGGGGATGAGGGTTACAGGGGGATGAGGGTTACTGGGGAATGAGGGTTACTGGGGATGAGGGTTACAGGGGGATGAGGGTTACTGGGGGATGAAGAGGACTGGGGTGACGAGGGTTCTGAGGGCATAAGGGTAATAAATCATTTCGTAATAGAAGCCGGCCACTAACATTTCACTGCACAGCCGCGGATTGCACCACAAACTTGCCCGACACTGTGCAACAAACCTATAATTGCAACGGCCATGAAAAAATTTGTAATATTAATATTAAACAAAATAATATTAATAATAATATTAAAGAAAATAATATTAATAACAATAGTAAACAAAATAATATTAATAATAATATTAAACAAAATAATATTAATAATAAAATTAAAGAAAATAATATTAATAATAATATTAAAGAAAATAATATTAATAATCAAATTAAACATACTGTATTAGAGATACTTATGTTAAATTATTATGGAGCATGTCGCTCCGTTTTTTATTCACTGGGGATTTACCTGTAATCTTTTGAAAGAGAAGTTAATAAATGCAAGTAATTTCTCATCATTATAATGAAATAATAAACGCTCAATTTATTAACCATTATAATAATGCGATTTCTTAAGGATAGTATAGTTATTACTCAATGATAGTTATAAGGTAATCAGCGTAATCAGCGCATTAGTCAATAATACTATAGTGATTACTCAATTATGATAAAGTGGTTATTCAACAACAATACTAATTATATTATTGATATTTCATGTAATGTAGAATTTTCCTTAAAGGAGAATACATTAGACAACTGAACGGAAAAAAAGCTTTTAAAGGTTGACCACGAAAATTAACAAGTCTAGGGAGAATTCACGAACGTTTTGACGTAGCTTGTGTTTTCTGATATAAATCGGCCTAGTGTTAGCTGGTAATTTTAATTTCAGTGTTTCCTGAACTTTTGATGAAGCAAAGATGTACAATTACAATTGTACATCATATAATAAATTATATAATCTACCATCCCACTTACATTATGAAATAAATTATATAATGGATTATATAATAAATTAAATAATAGATTAATTATATAAGAGATTAAATAAAAATTAAAGATTATATTATATTAATTGTACAATTAATTTAGATCGTATATTATATAATAGATTAAGAATTATAAATTACACAATTAATATAGAGATAATGAATCAAAGTAGCTTCGAAATATACAAGAATTTAATTCAAAGGTAGCATTGCAGCAACTATAAGCATTTAAACCCTGATAGATGCCCCAGGGATTCGTGTAGAAAGTTGTGCCCTAGAAAAAGTAAAGAAGAAGAAGAAGAAATGATTCCTTAAATTTCCTTATAACGAATCACTCCAAATAGTTATATGGTAAACAATCATTAATACTTGAGAGTAGGAATAACCGTGCAGTTAGAAGTTTTTATTAGGGTCATCTTGGAGAGATTTATTAATTTTTTCGGAGCAGCATGCAAAAAAATCTGGGCGAGAAATAGAAGAATAATTTGAACGAATTATTAGGAAGTATATATTTAATTTTTTGACTCACTTAATTTTGAGACAAGCAACCTATTTTAATAATTTAAATCAATATTAGCTTGGCCAATTCAACATCTCACATTTTTAGAGTACAGCGACTAGTATATATAACCTTTCTATTAAAATTTCCGTATACTATATATAGTTATACATGGTAACCATATATACAGGGTAACTATGGTTTCCCTACCCAGTAATAAGCCGATCGAGTTCACTTATACTTTAATGCTTCATGGGCATCAATAAACTATCATATCCTAATAATAATCATACATTACATTACATCGTTCATACGTTGTTGTATCTGAACGTTATAATCAGGCAGGTTTGAATATAAAGGTTATATACTTAATGCTATATGAATGTCACATCGAAGAATTGTTAGCGAAAAGCGAAATGTATTAAGTTTACGAGTACGTGTGGTTATTTAGTGTGGTAACGCAGGACATCGCATATTTTTAGAATTAATATTTAATAATATAATTAATATTTATTAATTAATAAATAGAATTTAGAATGACATATCCTGCGTATGTCATCCCGGTCTTCGCATCCCGGTTCATCCCCTGCGAATGTCATCCCTGCGTCGATCCCATGATCGACGTGATTAAATTTCAATAGAACCCATTTATCTTCATTCAAAATAAAATTATATAATTACTCGTTTGCTATCAGGGATCGTGAGATTTTATACTCCATGATATATGAGATAACATTGGGAAGTGTTATGCTATTTGGTTTCAAATACTAAGATAGCACTCCATGACAAGAAGCAAATAATGAACCATGTCATACGATTTAAAAATTTGCGTATAAAACCTCACGATAATCTGCCTATAATTCAGAATATATCAGTCAGACTGCAGGTAAAGTCATATATATCCCCCGTGACTTGAACAAAAGGGGCTGGGTTGCTCTCAGTTTCCATTCCCTCCAATTCGGAATTTCTAGTTATATAACCATTAATATTTTTTTGGGGAATTTGGGTAAATAACTTAACGGTAAGTCTAACCATTTATATATTTTTAATTAGAATAAATAATTAATTTTGGTCTAAGCAATAATTTTTTTGGAGAAATTAGATAATGAGACTTGGTTTCAATTTTGGATTTTCTGGCGCCTATAGCAATTACTTTGGACTGGAAAAATGCAATAGTTTGCATGTGATTTAAAGGAGTGACGAATGATTAAAGTTACAAATATTATTTGAAAAAGTAATACATCGTGAAATGCAGTAGTTTAAATTACTTAATTGTTCCATAAAGTGTGGTCTTAAATCATTGTCATGCAGGACAATTCTATAACATGACCGCACTCTTAATTAAAGAATTGAATTATGGCAACCATGCAACGTTCGTTATTAAAATTTCAGCCATTTTTACCATTAACGGCGGTTGTCAAATGGAGACCATTTTAAATATTGAGTATCAAACGTAATAATTTTAATACGAGAATATTAATGGAAAATCATTGCTAATAAAACATGTTTTTGTGGGAATATTATACATGGAGAAACATTATGGAACATGAATATACCTCAAGGTAATAACACAGAAAAAAATAAAAGAAAACATTTGTTTGGTATATGATGGCGAATATACAATATTTAACATAGTTATTGTAGATGTAATAGATGCCTCACTAACTATAGAGTTAATATGTGAAGTATATATGCATGTCTTATTTAAAATGAATATTTCAGAAAAAAAATAATTTTCACAACCCTTGCTTTAGTTTTTCTCGTATGCAGTACTTCTGGGAAAAATGTTTTTTTCTACTTAATTAACGCGAAAATCTTTCATGTCATGACATAATATAATATGCCTACGTTAAAAGTCATTATAAGTAGTCGCATTCCGTGGCCAAAACTTCAGAAATATCGCAATTTCGGGATAACAAACTATTTCAATATAAAAATTCGCACGTCATGCATCTGAAAGCCCCATTTTAAATTAATATGTTTCGCGAGATTCTCAAGGTTAATTTCCTTTGAGGTTAAGCGGTACGAAATAAATTTTTAATGATATCCTGGAGGAAATGATCTAAGCGTGTCAGATATATAGACTCAGCATCAAATACCCTGAGAACAGCCCAGCGATACAAAATATAAGCTCCTTTTAATATAAAACAATATGATCCTTTAATATAAACAATATGATTAAAATGTCAGCTAGAAATTTCAGAAGTGACGGGACATGTAAGAACTGAAAGGACATTTAAAACTGAGTGGTGAAGTGTAGAACATAAACTAAATTTGCAACGATTGGAAGCATCGTTGCTAAATGTAAAACAGAGCGTGAAAGTTTCACCGACTATGCCATTCTCAATTGAATCAGAAACCATAAATATTCAATGGCATCTAGCAGGAACATGGGTAAACCGAACAAAGTTTATTAAATGTGTTCCTATAAATTAAATAAAACAGAAAGGAGGAAATAATGTACTCAAGAAAAGCAAAATATAATAAAGGAATAAACAATAACTAAATGGGATGTAACTCACCTGTAGAAGTCTTTTCTACAGTATAGCTTGTCGTCCCTGCTGAAGCATTTCTCGGAGAGGGTAGCTCCGCAGTCTCCGCAGCGCACACACTCGGCGTGCCAGGTCCTGTTGAGCACCGTCAACAAGAACTTGCCAGTGATTGGCTTGTTGCAACTGGCACAGCAGACAATCATCTTGTTGCTACACTCAATCTTTACCAAAGATTTCTGGTGGGACGCGCCCCAGCGCGACGGAAACTCCTTCAGATTTGCGAAAAGTTTAGGGGAACTTGCGAGAGATCTTTCGGTGGTCCGATAAGGTCCCTAGCTAATACTGGTTAAGATGTTGAGGCTAACGCTCGGGTGGTTTGTATCAACTGGTTCCTGGATTAAAGTTTGAAAATTTCACGTGTATTTAAATAGTTACGCGTGTAAATATACGAGGAACACTGATTGCGTATAGTTTGACCTCAGCTTATGGTATGGAAATTTTCTCGACGAACAGTTGGTTGTCATGGACTCTCAAACGACCGACTCGAAGATCAGAAAACCACGTGGAAATTATCCATGAAAATTCCTAAATGTTCGTTAAGGTTGTTGTCGATACAACTCCAAAAGTAATCGAGCTTACTGTGCGTATTACTTGAAGAAACTCCTGAACGGGAATGCTTTCCAAAGATCGTTCTAGTCACAGTTAAATTCAGTGGAACGGGCACAAAGAGAGCGAGAACGTTCACTGGAGTTCACACCACACAGACCAGAGTTGGGGTTGCACTGAAGAGAGCATCGTCGAAGTTAGGGTTGGTCGATAACCAGAAGGAAGAAGGCGGGTCAACGTTGTTGATCCCTCCTCTTCTCTTTAAGAGACCCAGGATCGTTAGGATTGGTCCAAGGCATAGCAAGGACTAGAGCCTCCCAGCCGACATGCCTACCCAACTTCGGCGTCGAGAAACATCCTAAGCTGCAGAATCTTGGGATTAACATTCAGTGTACACTATTCAATATTTTCAAAAAAGAGCTTTCTTGTTATTGAAGAAATGGGTGCATCTTAGCAGGGTCAAGAACGGGCGCTACGAGCGGATATATGCGCATAAGCAAGGGCCATCCATGCCATTACAGCTTCCTAATGCTGATGAAACGCAAACTATTCCAGCCTATACGACTGAACATTATGGCGAACTATACAGCCTACGACTGAACATTATGGCAAACTATACCAGCCTACGACTGAACATTATGGCAAACTATACCAACCTACGACTGAACATTATGGCAAACTATACCAGCCTACGACTGAACATTGTGGCAAACTATACCAGTCTACGACTGAACATTATGGCAAACTATACCAGCCGATGACTGAACATAATGGCAAACTATGCCAGTCTACGACTGAATATTATGGCAAACTATATACCAGCCTACGACTGAACATAATGGCAAACTATACCAGCTTACAACTGAACATTATGACAAACTATACCAGCCTACGACTGAACATTATGGCAAACTATACCAGCCTACGACTGAACATTATGGCAAACTATACCAGCCTACGACTGAACATTATGACAACAATATACCAGCCTACGACTGAACATTATGGATGTGCTCCCCTATATAACATCGTTTAGGACGAATAAAAATAAACATGGCGACGAATACAATTTCTTCCAATAATCTAAAATTGAATTTGTTCGACTTGATGTCTGAAACCTCTAAATGTCCAAGAATTTAGTAGTAAAGAGAGGCGAATGTCCTGGTTATATCTTTTTCTGTGAATTTCATAGTAATTGTTATCCATGTTGGCTGACATATATGGTCGCAGAACGTTTGCATTTGGGATCAGCATGGTATCAGCATGGTATCAGCATGGTATCAGCATGGTATCAGCATGGTACCAGCATGGTATCAGCATGGTATCAGCATGGTATCAGCATGGTACCAGCATGGTATCAGCATAGTATCAGCATGGTATCAGCATGGTATCAGCATGGTATCAACATGCATGGTATCATCAGGGTATCAACGTGGCATTATAATAAGGCAGCATACTGATAACAAAACCAGCCCAGTAGCCTGACTCGCGTAAAATTCCAGGTGCTCTATTGCCCGTGCCAGTATATTATAGTCTAAGTTTTTAACGTTCATAGGGAAGTTTTGCACTATAAATAATGTATCAAATATACACGAGCAATTCCACGTTAGTTTAGTTTGAGTAAGGACATAGAAAATGTTGGTTGAATTTGAAATTAAAAGTAAAAATGTTTGATTTTGACTAAAACTCCTACACGGAAATCAGAATGCATTTGTAATAAAATTTTAGGTACGTGTACAATTTGTTTGCAGTATTTCATAAATGCTGATTTTCTGGATCAAAAATTTCTTTGGTATACAGCCTATTATGATGACCTGAAGTTGTTTGAATTAAAATCTCAAATATGAATATATAACATGAATATGAACAAAAGCTCAACTTTGGTCCCAATAATACAGAGTGATTCACGGAAACTTCCTGATTTGAAAGCTCAATAAAAAACAATCAAATATATCATTGCAACATAAAATTTATTTAAAAAGACATTACTTTAATTTTTTATCAATAGTTTAAAGGTTGCCATCGGACAAATGACAGCCCCCAATGTCAATTTGCTTTCAGTTCGTCTATTTTTGAAGTTCCGTTCAATTCGCTGAAGTATATTAATGGGTACGTTGCAAGGCGAGAGTTTGGCGTATGTTGTTCTTCAAATGACGTAGGGTCATTTGAAGTCATATTAACAAGTGATTTGTGATAATCTCATAAAAAATCACACGGAGCCAAATCGGGGGATATAGGACCGGTAATTAAAGGTCACCCATCTCTAGGAGATTAGGCGCTTGATCTAAAAAATATTCTCAGAATATCCATTGAATATCACACTGCATGTGTGGTCCGTGGCTCCATCCTGTTGCAGTTAGCTGGTTTTCGGACCCTCTTGCATTCACACTCCCACTTGCCCTAAATGTTTTCATCCACGTAACAATCAATTTCCAAGCAGGAACCCGACTTGATCGTATGACGGATATGGAACCGTGTGCGGAAAGCTCTTTGAGTATAGAGATAGCGGAACGGTCATTAGAAAAGTACGCCTCGACAGCAAACGCACACTGCTCACTTGTCCAATGCATAATGGAAACTGGTTAGGCGGGATACAAAACTTCATGACCTTGTTTTCTATATGAAATACTCCTCCGCTCTTTTCCTTCAACATCTGAAACATCTGACTGCTTGGCGCAAAATATAAAATAGGATATTTCCGTGAAACACTTTGTAATCAAATTAAACCCAGTTAATTAGTATTGCATGCATTTAAATGATATTAATAAACGAAATTAATTCAATTTCCGAGTATTTCATAATTTCTGCGATTATTCTTATCCTAGGTCAAATTTCTGAGAAAAACTTCTTAGAAAATTATTGGCCCGAGTAAAAAAAAATTATCTCAATTGATTTGTGATTTTTAGTTTAAAACGCGCACTTAGAATAAGTTGCGACAAGGTGCAGACTTTAGTTTAGGCGGCAAGGGGCACACTAAACACGACAATATATGACTTTAGATACAATGTCTGCCTGCCTCCTCCCAGTTCCTTTAACCTTTAATCGGGAGCTGGCGATGACACGCGTTTTCTAAGGTGTAATTTCTGTTCGTTTTTTGGTGCACATCGGATGAGAAGAGTCTAGATTACCGGCTAGGAGAGAGCGTTTCTCAGGCAAAAGAGTGAGGCTACTGGGTGGAATAGAGAGCAGTTACCGGGCAAATAGTGTGCAGTTACCGGGCAAAGAGAGTGCATTTACCGGGCAAAAAGAGTGAGGTTACCGGGTAAAGAGAGTGCAGTTACCGGTCCAAAAGCGAGGCGGTAACCGGGTAAAGAGAGTGCAGTTACCAGGCAAAGAGAGAGAGCAGTTACCGGGCAAAGAGAGAGCAGTTACCGGTTAAAGAGAGTGCAGTTACCAAGCAAAGAGAGTGCAGTTACTGGGCAAAGAGAGAGCAGTTACCAGGCAAAGAGAGAGCAGTTACCGGTCAAAGAGAGAGAGTAGTTACCGGGCAAAGAGAGAGCAGTTACCGGGCAAAGAGAGAGAGCAGTTACCGGGCAAAGAGAGAGCAGTAACCGGTCAAAGAGAGTGCAGTTACCGGGCAAAGAGAGTGCAGTTACTCGGCAAAGAGAGTGCAGTTACCGGGCAAAGAGAGTGCAGTTATCGGGCAAATAGAGAGCAGTTACCGGGCAAATAGTGTGCAGTTACCGGGTAAAGAGATAGTTACCGGGCAAAGAGAGAGCAGTAACTGGTCAAAGAGAGTGCAGTTACCGGGCAAAGAGAGTGCAGTTACTCGGCAAAGAGAGTGCAGTTACCGGGCAAAGAGAGTGCAGTTACCGGGCAAAGCAAGTGCAGTTACCGGTCAAAGAGAGAGCAGTTACCGGGCAAAGAGAGCAGTTACCGCTCAAAGAGAGTGCAGTTACCGGGCAAAGAGAGAGCAGTTACCGGGCAAAGAGAGTGCAGTTATCGGGCAAAGAGAGTGCATTTACCGGGCAAAAAGAGTGAGGTTACCGGGTAAAGAGAGTGCAGTTACCGGTCAAAAAGCGAGGCGGTAACCGAGTAAAGAGAGTGCGGTTACCAGGCAAAGAGAGAGAGCAGTTACCGGGCAAAGAGAGAGCAGTTACCGGAAAAAAGAGTGAGATAACCGGGTAAAGAGAGTAGAGCGTTTGACTACCAAAGAGAGTGCGCTTTCGTTGCAAAGACACTGCGTTTGCCGGACGAAGAGAGTGTGTTTGTCTGGCAAAGATGATACGTTTGCCTGGCAAAGAGAGTGCGTTTGTTTGGCAAAGGCATTGCGTTTGATTGGTAAAACGACTGCATTTGTCTGACAAAGAGAGTGCGATTGTCTGCCAAAAATTGCTTGGTAACGAGAGTGCGTTTGACTCACAAAGACACTGCGTTTGGCTGGCAAAAAGAGAGCGTTTGCCTGGCAAAGACAGCGCGTTTCAAATCATTTGCCGTTGCCACACGGGAATTGTCGTATTTATCTCCCACGCTTCCTGCAGTCCCCTGGCTCGTCACCAAAAGAACGTATCGAGTTTGACGTTTAATGCTCGCGTCAGTGAGCTCGTTGACGTCTGACGAAATGCTCTTGACGTAAATCGTTACGTACAACGAAGGCATGTACGTTATACGTAACGCATGTCGCGAACTGTATGAGGAAATGCGATGAATCTGGCGGAACTTTTGAGTTTTGGCAATCGTCAGGGCAAAGCTGTGATATTGTTTAGAAGTTTGTTTTTTAGATTTGTGCTATTAACTCATCGTTGATTGTTACTTTTGTTTCATATAAATGTAGTGTTGAATTATTTTTGCAATAGTTTGCTTGTTTTTATTATATTTTGATGATATTGAGAAACGCTGTGCCTTGCATTAATTTGCCTAGAAATGTCCGAGTGACATCCATGCCGTGTGAAATGTTGAACTGTCACGTCATATTGTCGAATATTTGAAGATATTCAATTTCATCAATCAATCAGCATTTTAATTTAAATCAATTTCAGATATTTTATTCTATTATCTATATTAACTTATGAGTAATCTAGAATCATGAACTTTCAGGTAACGCAGGTGCTGAGCATTACAGTTTTAATTACTTGCTGTATACTATGTTTGAGTATCAAAAGTGTGTGGTGTTGAACTCTTTCATCATTTTGTCGAATATCATCGCATTTGCGCATGTTAACACTGGAAGATAAAAATCTTTGATCAGAGGGGAAATATCTCGTTA